AGGCTGTCGGGACCCAGAGCCTTGTTACGTTTCAAGAATTGGATTGCATTTCGGATCTCTGCTTCACTTCGGGGGAGGGGCTGTGGAGACAGGCCAGTTATCATCTATTGGGACTGGCGATGTCACAAGGGGCTGTGTTGGGTGGTTGAATTGAAGAGCGAAATGCTCTGCCCGGCGACCCAATCGCCTGTGAAGGTTGATGATCTTCGTGCCTTCTGATTCGCAAATCGTCTGGCTGATAACGTGGGAATTGCAATCAGTGACCCTGATGATGCAAAGTAGACGGCGGAAGTTGCCAGCTGATGCAGCGGCTTCCATCTCATCAGCTTGTTTTGACCACCAAGATTCACGATCAGAGCGAAGACTTGCTTTCAGATGTTGCGTACTAGACCGTCGGTGTACGTTGTGCTATGCGTCAGCAGGTACTGCCCGTCGGCGATCCAGCAATTCCAAGGATCTTCCCGGGATCCAGCTTTTGGGTGTGGAGCGAGTGAGGCCGCAGCTGGACAAACCGGCCGACGGCATGGCTTGTTGCAGACTTGACCAGTGTTGATCAACATCCAGAGTGAGAGAGTGAGAGATTTTCACGAAGCCTTTGTTGATACTCCTTCTTCACCGTCGGGTCCTCCAACTTGTAGGTGTTCAGTCGGATGTGATTGGACCTAGGTGGACCACTGAAACGCATGCAAACAATTGCACATACCAGTGCATGATCGATATCGACGCATGTTGACCAAAATGATCAACAGTCGCGTACGCTGCTGCGCCACCTGCGACTTATGGCTATGTAGTCAATCTGTGACCAGCGCTGGGTTGATGATGGGGGGCGCCAAGTGGCGTACTGGCGTCCAGGATGACGATAGCTGGTGCTGGAGAGGAAAAGCTGATCAGCGCACAGACTGAGAAGGCTCTCTCCGTTGTCTGAGCGAACATCATATCTATGCGGTCCCCCTAGGGGGCGCTCACGTGGCAGCAGCCGACCGACACGCGCGTTGAAGTTTTCTGCCAAAACAATGATGTCTGTTTTAGGAGCAGCTCATGAAGGTTCTGATAGAACTGGTCCTTGACTGTGTCCGAGCTACAGCGGGCGCGTAGGCAGAGATCACGAAGAGAGCATGTTTTTTCACTCAATGTCTGCTAACTTTACGAGAGTCATGGAGCCTCATCGCACGACCGCGACTATTGATCGGAGTATAATCAATCAGAGCAGCCTCGGCTCTAGCACTGAGGGCAGTTCCAACACATGTGGTATGTCTAAAAGCCCACATGGACATTGGGTCTCTTCTCGGTCTCTGGAACTTATCGACGCTCGCCGGCATATCCCGGCTGGAAGCGAACACAATGAAACTCGCAAAGAGCTCCGGGCAAAACTCCGTGCTAGCCTGAAGAGAGACCGCGAATCTTGGTGGTCTCATCGTGCGTCAGAGATGGAAGTGGCCGCTGCCCTTGGCAACCATCGTAAGTTATTCCGTCTGATACGGGAAACGGGCAGCAGGAGACCTGGTGTTAGTGAAACAATTTGTGATGAGAGTGGACAGCCTATCCACAATTTGTCAAAACGTTTGGAGCGTTGGGCTGAGCATTTTGAAAAGCAATTTAATCGGCTAGAATTGTCCGATTAGCCGGTCACTGATCGCCCTGCTCCGTGGGTTGTCCCTTTGGATCCGCCCTCTCGCTCAGAAGTCGAACATGAGATCGGACTGTTGTAGTTGAACAAAGCCGCGGGACCAGATGATCTTCCTCCAGCCCTCTTCAAATTCGGAGGCCCTGCTCTTGTGGATGCTTTGCATGAACTACTAGTGAAACTGTGGGAGCAGGAGACTGTCCCAACCGACTGGAGCCGCTCCGTTATTGTTCCCATCTTCAAAGGCGGCTCGCGCTCGGAATGCGGCAACCATAGAGGAATCAGTCTGATCTCCATCGCCTCCAAATTACTCGCCTCCATAATTCTTCACAGACTGACTGGCGCTCGTGAAAGCCAGATTCGTGAAGAGCAAGCCGGGTTTCGTCCAGGTCGTAGCTGCATCGACCACATCTTCACCTTGCGTCAGTTGTTGGAGCACCGTCACACATATTGGCGGCCCACCGTATTCGTGTTCCTCGACATCAAAGGTGCCTTCGATTCGGTTGATCGATGTGCCCTTTGGAATTGTCTACTCAGGAAAGGTGTGCCCGAGAAATATGTAAATATTATCCAAGCATTATATGCGCGTAGCACGGGCAGAGTGAGGGCTTACGGCAAGCTGTCGACACCCTTTAATATCTCCAGCGGTGTGAGACAAGGATGCTAGCTGTCACCTTTCCTCTTCAACTTCGCTATTGACGAAGTCATGGAGTTTGCATTTACAGGACATGACTTGGAAGGTGTGGAGCTACTCCCAGGAGAACGACTTCTTGACTTGGAGTATGCTGACGACATTGCCCTCATCTGTGACAGCTCCCAGACGTGCCAAGCCGCGCTAGACAGATTAGCACTGGCTGTCAGCTGCTTCGGGCTTTGCTTTGCACCATTGAAGTGCAAAGCGCTTCTCCAAGATTGGCAGGGATCGCCTCCTGCGCTGACCCTTGGTGGGGATCAGCTAGAAGTCGTTCAGAAATTCAAATACCTGGGAAGTTGTATCAGCGCCCCTGGGATCGAAGACGAGATCACGAACCGTATAGCGAAAGCTCGAAGTGCTTTTGCTAACCTTCGCCACCTTTGGCGGCGGCGCGACATCACTCTCGCCCTGAAGGGTAGAGTGTACAATGCAGCGGTACGTTCGACCTTACTGTACGGTTGCGAAACCTGGCCCATAAGATCGGCGGACATGAAGAGGCTAGTTATGTTCGACCATCGGTGCCTTCGCAGTTTGGCTCACATATGGTGGGAACACCGCGTGAGTAGCGAGCGTGTTCGACGCATTGTTTACGGCCCAGGAAAAGGATCTGAACCGCTCAGCACCGTTATTTCCCACACCAGGCTCCGATGGCTCGGCCACGTGTCACGCATGCCAGTCCACCGACTTCCACGACGTGCGTTGTTTGCTCACCGGGGATGTGGGTGGAAGAAGAGGAGAGGTGGCCAAGCGATGACTTGGTCCAGGGGAATGAAGTCCTTCACCTCGGAGCTAGCCTCGGTTGGAGCTTCACGGCTCCCTGGTTGGGGTCCAAAAGACGGTGAACACGTTTGGCTGGATACACTTGCTGACACGGCAAGGAGCCGACCTCAATGGCGTTCATGCTGTGAGTTTCTTTGTCCCTCCCCATCCCTTTTAGCCTCCCCATCCATCTACGATCTCATTTCCTAGGGTAAAACATAATATTTTTTTTCTTTTTGCCTAGTAGCTGGCTGGAAGCTTACCGGAACGATGCCTATCCGTTGCTGGTAGCTCAGCTGGCATGCAACTGTTGTATCTACTTCTCCTTTGTGTATTGTATTGTATGTATGTATGTATTTCCTTCATGTATTGCGGCACAATAGTAGTGTTTTTCCCATCTCTAGCTGATGTGTATAATGATGATGATGATGCAGTTCCAACACCAGCTTGCCCAGATGCGGCGGACGGTGTGACCAGAGAGGCAGAGAGGGAAGCGGGTAGGTGAGTGGGGCAGTGACGCCAGCTGGTAAACCGAGTTGTAGTCCTGGAGTCGTGTTTCACTCAGATAGCGGACATCAATTCTAAGGGTCTCTAGCGTGCGTGCAAGTCTAGCTTGCTGACCGATCTGCAGAAGTACGCGTACGTTGAAGGCTGCAAGTTTGAAGTGTGTTCTGGATTACAGGAGCGAAGATGGGAGACTTCGGGGCTAACAGCTCACTTTTGAGCAGTGTGCTTGAGCTGACACTTGTCACGCGAACAGGTTCATCAGTGGAGGTCGGGTTGATCGCCGTGGAAGATTCAGGTAAAAATGGGTGCGGATGATACAAGGTAAGTGTAGGTAAAATGGTGAAGTTGGCGTTGTAGCATGAGTGAATTGCACCGTAGCAGCAAGAGAGCGTGTGAATGGTTGTAGTTGTAAGTTCATGGTTCGTCAGTAGGCGAGATACTACCCGGTTGCCTAGGCCGAGGTAGGTAAGTTGTCTTAGGGGCCACCGCTCCGAGCCTTTGGCCAAAGGGCCTAACCTACAAGGCAGCAGGGCGAGATGAGGAATTCGCACCCGTTGGGAGCCGGTGACTGGTCACTCAGTTCAAACGCCTTTCAGATGACGATAAGCCATGTCAGGGGCCCAACACTCCCGAAGTCAGAGACAAGATCCGATGCTCGGATTGCTTGCCGATGTGCAATGTCTCCAAAGGAGACAAAGAGCAGTGACTGATTAGATGTAATAATATCCATCTGTCAAGTGGGAACGTAACGAGACACGAACAGATGTTAGCGCGACCTGTAATTTGGGCGAGCCCCAGTTAGACATCGAACCAGCAGATACTGGTGTCCCGCGAGTGAAAATGCCATCAGTCTGTCAAGCGGAAATGTGACGTTTACAAGTGTTTCTAAATAGCCTCCACTTAGTCATTCAATATAATGAGCACCGCCCGCTGCAAGTAGAGATATCTGTTGACATACCAAGATTCCTGGTTGGAGTTGTAGTGCTGTGAACGGGCATTTGTTCACACTTGTGTATCGACTACCACAAACTGATTGGAAAAACAGTAATTCTCATGAACAATAAGATTACGAATGTGCATGATTATTGATTGAATGTAAGTATAACAGCCATATTCCTCTAGTTTTGGAAAATCGCACGTGCAGTTAAAAAGCAACCAATACGACTCTCGGTGGTTAGTTAACGTTAAAACGTGAACCTAAATGGCAGCCATAAATTTAGTCAGAAGCGTGGGCATCAACAGTATATAGAGACAAATATGGGAATAGGGAAGCAAATGACATCAATATCACGTGGATTGAAGCGCAAACAATAGGTACCGTAATGCAGTGGTGACATCGCTAGTGCGTATTGTACATGCCATCTGCTATATGTGAAGTTGGGTTTACAGAGCTGATGGTGGTCGCACAGCGTGTGAATGAGACGGCGTGTTAGCCGCAGTCTCTGCGTGTCCTCGCCGCCTAAAACTGGACCGATCCGATCGTCTCCTGTCCGAGGTATGTGCGGATTCTGAAGGGACGTTCCTTGCTCTAACTTAAGTGTTGGAATGGGGTAATATCACACATTCGCTGACAGCCACTTTGACGCGACCACAGCGATAATACATCAACTAAGTTCCACTGCTTGCTGTCCGACATTCGGCTTTCGAAAAAGTGTTCAAACTGTTATAGTAAATTTCCAAGAAATAGCTTGGCTATCATCCAGTTACTCAACTGTAGGCAAATGTAGCTGTGTGTGATAACCTGTCATTAGAAATCTCGGTTGCAGACCTTCGGGGCTACAAATCAATTGTTTCTGTGCACTGATTTCTTTTTCAATGAAATAAATTAGGGCTCTACCTTACCATCACAGTTGAGCTAACCTACTTCCTACTCAATCCAGAAGTTTGTCCATTTCTAAATCAAATTCTAGCAGGCGCTTTTGCCCTTCCGCCTTGAACCGCGATAGTAACTGCCTTTGCCTAACCGCTAGTAAATTCCGTATGACGGATGAACATCATCATCATCATTATACACGTTAGCTAGAGGTGGGAAACACCTCAGCTACTGTGCCGCAATACATAAAGGAAAACGAAAATAAATACAACAGTTGCGTGCCAGCTGAGCTACCAGCAACGGATAGACACCGTGTTGGTAACTTACCAGCCGGCTACTAGGCAAAAAGAAAAATTATTGTGTTTTACGCTACGAGATGAGATCGTAGGTAGAGGGGGAGGCTAAAAGGGACGGGGAGGGACAAAGAAACTCACAGCAGGAACGCCACTGAGGTCGACTCCTTGCCATGTCAGCAAGTGTATCCAGCCAAACGTGTTCACCGTCTTTTGGACCCCAACCAGAGAGCCGTGACGCTCCAACCGAGGCCAGCTCCGCAGTGAGAGCCTTCATTCCTCTGGACCAAGTCATCGCTTGGCCACCCCTCCTGTTCTTCTATCCACATCCCCGGTGAGCAAATAACACACGTCGTGGAAGTCGGTGGGCTGGCATGCGCAACACGTGGCCGAGCCATCGGAGACTTGTGCGTGAAATAACGGTGTTGAGCGATTCAGTTCCTTTTTTTGTGCCGTGACGGATGTACAATGGGAAATAGAGCCACATCAAGTCTCATGGCTAACATGTGGAGGAGAACATGCATTAGCAGCATCATAAAAATCACTATTCGTTTACTTTCCGAGGTTGTTCATTTTTCACGGATGAGCCAACGTGAGCACATGCAACGAAAGTTTGTTAGGCCTCAAACCCCGAAATTCCAAGCTGCACTCCAAAGAGAGGAAGCGTTATATAGTCCTTGGGCTCCAGGGATAATTGTTGAGCACTACACCCAATTTTTCACTCAAATACAAGAACGAATGTGGAATATTGTAAGCAACAAGCACTTGGTAGCTTGGGGCTAACGCTGCCTCCAATGTAATCAAAAACTACAAGTCGGTGCTTGATAATCGGTACACACCTATATGGTTGGGGGCATCCGGTTTCGGATTTGCCTGTCACTGTGGTGAGCCGCAGAACACCTGCACCTACAGAGGGACCATGGGTGGCTTTCGCTGCACCACCCACAGGTCCAACCACACCCCATATCCAGTGTAAACCCGAAGGAATAAGACCGGTAGGCATGTGGATGGGAACCACTTTTCATCATCGGAGGCGGCCCACACTCCTTCACCGGCAAACACAAGCACGCTGTATTTGGGGAACCAAGCGCACGCAAGGCGGTGGCTGGACCGTAGTCCGCTCCACACTGAGTGCATGGAACCACTCTTTGATCCTAACACGGCCACAAGGACCGTACACCCTGTCCCCTCCAGCAACGATCAGTAGTCTCCTAGGGCTAGTATTGACGAGGTAGTGGGTAATAGACAGGTAGGCACCTTGTCAACATGCACATCAAGCGCAGCCACACCGGGGATATCAAGCAACAGGCAATCACTTGAGAGAAAGATAACAACGAAAATGAATCGAGTAATGCATAAGGAAACTGAGATAAATGTTAAATTAATGAGCATATAAAATAAGTTGTTTACGAACGAACATGATAACCTAACGAGGTCGGAAAGTATATTTTACGGAAATGCTACAAACACGACATTAGGCGACTTGTGCAAGTTTCTAGAAGAGAGTACAGGTAGACATTTATTTGAGGAAGAAAAGCATTAGGACAAAATTGAAAACCCACCACCTGAAATAAATAGATTTAGCATGCAAGCACAACGTTAGTAAATCGAATGCAGCGTGCCTCCAAACGCTGCTCCGCTTTTGCCTACGTTCTCTGCAGGACCCGTCGTCTCTTCGGTAGTGGTCCCGAGTGGCCTCGCTCATTGCTCACTAAGCCTGCCTGACTTAGGCACTCGCGACCGCATGTGCTACAGCACCATGCGCTGGATATCGATGGAGTACAACCCATCGGTGCTTGCCGCTTCCGCATTTGCCGCTGCTTCTCTGCATGTATGAGGTCTTTTTCCCGCACTTCTGCAACTGCCTTCGTGATTAGATCGCGCCATCCACGCCGATCAACCGCCTTCGTTTCTCATGACCTGCAATTAAGATTAGAACGTGTGAGGCTCACTTTAATCATGTCCTGGTAACATAACTTTGGTTTCCCTACATGCCGCTTCCCAATACTCAGCTGACCGTATAGGAGTTGTTTCGGCATCCGCGTCGAATCCATAAGGCTCACATGACCGAGCCATATATATATATACATGTATATATATATATATATATATATATATATATATATATATATCGATGGTGGGTCAGCGATCCATGTTTCTTAAGCTATGGTTTCACTAACAGGTTTCTTGAACTGGGACGCCGGATGAATTGGAACAGCATTTAACTGTTGCTAATCGCACCGGTTTTCTCCACCTCACGTGCCGTGTCAAACTGTTTAACAGGGTTTTGACACGATTATACCCTTGTTTCACTGACTGAGCGACCTGTTCCACAGGCTTTCAGAACTCCTGAAACAACTTTTGCAATGATTGGATGTTGAGGAATGTCATCTCACCGTCATCTCCGTCTAAACTTTGGGATGGGTTGAGTGCCCTGTTCCTATTTCATCCGTCCGTGGCAACAGGTTATATTTACAAGACTATTTCTCTCGGAGCTAATCAAAGAACGTCGAAATTTCCCAACGAGCCGAAGCCGCGGATATGTGACTATCGATCTAAGACACCGCAATTTCAGCTTGCCAAATTTGCCGCACTGCGCCTAACAACCTATATATACACACACCAAGGGATTCTTTGACTCCTTGAAGGCGGTGTTTGGACCGAGATTGGAGCGGCTGAGGACGCTGCTCAATGGTAGTTCAGGCGCTACCTGCACACAGACTGCAAACATTATGCAGATCTGGCGAACGCAATTTGACTGTCTCTTGAACAACCGTTCAGAGATCGACCGGCCTACTTTGAACGGTCTGAAGCAACACGGTGTGAAGGCGAGTCTGGCAGACACGCCGACACTGGATGAAACGCAGAGAGCACTTGCTCAGCTGCGAAACGGCAAGTGTGTCGGGGCCAACGGGATCCCGCTTGAAGTATTGAAACACGGCGGACCCGCGTTGTTGACTGCGCTGCACCACTTGGTGCATCGCGTATGGATTGAAGAGGAGGTGCCTCCTGAGCTGAAGGATGCTCTTGTGCTACCACTGTACAAGGGCAAAGGTAGCAAGCAATGTTGCACGAATTATCGTGGCATCAACTTGCTGAGTTGTGTGGGTAAGGTGCTTGCCCGAATCCTGCTCAACAGCCTCCTCATTCAGGTTGTGGAACCTAACGTGGCGGAAGAGCAGTGTGGATTCCGTTCGGGTTGCAGCACTATAGAGATGGTGTTTGCGGCTCGTCAGTTACAGGAGAAGTGCAGAGAACGACACCAGCCATTGTATTCGCTTTTTGTTGCTTTCATCAAGGCATTTGAAGGGACTTTGAAGTTGGTTTTTTAATTTTTTCTTTAGCTTTATTTATTTACAGCAGTCCCAACGAGCACATCTATCCACCGAATCGAAGGCACTTTTGATGTCGAGAACACGACAACAGTGAGTCGCCAGTAAACATGGCGGTGTTCCAACAATTGACCTAAAGGGAAGATGTGATCAATGCAGCCTCGATTTCGACGCAACCCGGCTTGCTCTTCGGGGATCTGGCCTTCTCGAGCGCCAGTCAGTCTGTGGAGAACTACAGAGGCAAGCAATTTAGAGGCACTTGTGATCAGGCTGATCCCTCTGTGGTTGCCGCATTCCGAACGGGAGCCTCCCTTGAAACTTGGGACCATGACGGAGTGGCTCCAGTCTGTCGGGACTGTTTCCTGCTCCTAACGTTGCATTAGCCACTCTTGTATATCATTCACAAGAGCTTGTCCTTCATACCCGAAAGAGAAAGCGATAACTTTGATTGGTTAAACTGCCTTGCAAAGTGTTCGGCCCAACGGTCCAGGCGTTTCAATAAGCTGTGGATTGGGTGTCTACTCTCGTCATGTATTTTCTCGCTAACATCAGGTTCCTGCTGCCTATTTCTCGGATCAGACGGAATAACTTACGATGATTACCAATGCCAGCGGCTGTTTCCATTTCCGATGCACGATGAGACCACCAGGATTCGCGGTCTCTATTCAGGCTAGCACGCAGTTTTGCCCTGAGATTTTTGCGAGTCTCATTGTATTCGCTTTCAGCGGAATACATCGACGAACATCTATAAGTTCTAGAGACTTTGTAGAGACCCAATGTCTAGGTTGGCAATTTGATTTGCCCCATGAAGACATGCCTACTGATTGTAACGTTTGACTAATATGCGACCTGTGATCTTCGACGGTGTTCAATGGACGCTTACTCAGCCCAGATGTCTGCGCACTTTGATACACCTTCCGAACATCTGGCTTCGCCAGCTGACTGGTGTCAATCCGTTCACATCGACGTTGCGGACGTCCACCGAAACGCACCAGAAGGTCGGCACAGGCAAGTGCGTGGTCAGAGTCCACGCTCGTGCTCCAAATCGAGCGACAATTTTGGACACAGCCTCTCCAGCGGTAACTGATCGCGATATGATCGATTTGCGTCCATGGTTGGCCCGAGGCTGGTGGTCGCCAAGTCACGCTTCTGCGGGTGCTGTGTCTTGTGTTGGTGTACCGAACAAGTATGATCAAATTTCTGCACTCATAGGCGCCCTGCCCTTCTTGCGTACCACATAGTGCTCGAAATAAATGCTGCAAGTATTTGAGCGAAAGATGGCATTGACAAGCCGATTCGCATATCACTGATCAGTCGAAAACTTTTTTCTTGTTTATTGCCTACTTTTCGATGTTTCCACTTCGAGGATCCAGCGAAGACCCAATGACAAGTAGGCATCTGCTCGCAACGTATGCGGCAAATCAGTCGCAGTTTATGAAGCAAACTACACTACCTGAACTTGGTGCACAGTGGATTAATCTCTTTGTACCAGATACACCCACACCATCCACAAGCACCGCAGAGCCTCATCCAGGGCAACGCAGATGGTATATTTATTCCGGCTCACTCGACATGAAAATCAAGCAATTCTATTAATTATGACTCGAAGGACTTTCGGTGAAGTTTTACTATTTCATCCCAGCTGTTCACAAGCCAAATTAATCGACCTCAATCTGAAAAAGCACCGGACCATCGTTTCGCCCGCCTGGGACTCGTCATTAGTGCACATTCTTCCCGATCCGCTGCTGGGGATCGAACCCATAGCCGATAGTAGTTTGCGCCAACTAGCCGGCAGTTTATGCTACGGAGGCAGACTGTCTGAGCTTACTAACTAACTGGGATATAGCGCAACCTCCACTAACATGCAGGCTCCTGCCATTGCATACTTTGGTTTAAACTGACCTTTTGATACCAAGGATGTGGCTTTTTCATTGTACCTGAGAAAGCGTAATCCCATCGAGTATCCTATAATGTGCTGCTTCGGCGAAACTTCTATCGCTTCCGGGAATTCCAGTAATCCTTTTAAAAGTATTAGATTTTCTCTCATCACTACTGTCCATCCCGCTTGCTGTCTCACAGTTGTCACGATTACACACTCCTTTGCTTGTCCAGACACAGTCTTCTGCTCTCATTTCGCTTGCTTCCTCGCAACTTCAGCGACTCTGAGCTACTATCCGTTATGAGGAGTTAAACTTTCTTAATCCATTTTCTTCTAGGCAGTCGGAGTCGTTCCAATTCTCGTTTCCGTTTATTTCACACAACTCCTACAACGTTTCACTTCCAAAACGCTTGCCACCCAGCGCACCGAATGGGTCACATAATTTCGACTTACAGGGATCCTTCTTCCATGCCTGATATCACTATCGGCCCTATTTTTGACCAACATCAAGGGTTCGCAGGTGAAAGGAAGAAACGCGTTTCCAAGGTTGGTTCTTGTCATTGCATTATCGCTAATTTAGGTAAGTGGATAAGGTTATTAGATCATAACGGACAAGAGGGAATATTTTTCTCCGTGACATCTTGCGATACGCTTTAAAAGTACGCAGTACTTATTGTGGCTAACTTCTGATTACCTTTGAAATTGTTATTTTAATGTTACTCCTGCCCGTTACTTCGAATGTTTCAGTCGCTACTGTTTTCAAAGTTAGCGGTAACGGATTCGCACTCTAAGGCTTTCTCAAAGCAACCCGATAGTATATCATCATCATCATCATCATCATCATCATCATCATCATCATCATCATCATCATCATCATCATCATCATCATCATCATCATCATCATCATCATCATCATCATCATCATCATCATCATCATCATCATCATCATCATCATCATCATCATCATCATCATCATCATCATCATCATCATCATCATCATCATCATCATCATCATCTCATCATCATCATCATCATCATCATCATCATCATCCTCATCATCCTCATCATCATCCTCATCATCATCCTCATCATCATCCTCATCATCATCCTCATCATCATCCTCATCATCCTCATCATCCTCATCATCCTCATCATCCTCATCATCCTCATCATCATCATCATCATCATCATCATCATCATCATCATCATCATCATCATCATCATCATCATCATCATCATCATCCTCATCCTCATCCTCATCATCCTCATCATCCTCATCATCCTCATCATCCTCATCATCCTCATCATCCTCATCATCCTCATCATCCTCATCAATCATCATCAATCATCATCATCATTATCATCATCATCATCATCATCATCATCATCATCATCATCATCAGCAGTACATCAGCCATTTGAACTGATGCTTCGCTGCCATACAACCATGAGGACCTATGAAATAAAGAATAAGAAGAGGGAGAGAAGGGGGACTTACCTGAAAACCTTAATGCCCTAAGCAAACATTCAGGGTCAAGGCGCTTACACCTTGTATAGACAACATACCGTCACAAACAGCTGGCTATCGTGCAAAGATAAGGCGGCATCGGCGAGACAGCTTCCTTGCGGCTTTCACTGCCACGCGTCATAATCAGCCATTACCCCGCAGATAACTCAGCACCAAACACACTTTAAACAGACAATCCGATTAGGAGACGGCAGCAGACGCGCCACTGGTGTCGGTTGCGAGCCATGTCCTGTAAAGTCTCAAGCCAAGCACAAGGTGAGTCACGTGGATTCCAACCCGGAAGGCGAGACGGACCAACGGCACCCAGTTTGGTTGTCAGTGAGTTCATTTCCCGTTGCCAAGTCAACTTCTGTCCACCTCGAGCCTTGCGCCACCCTACACCTGGCAGACTGAACAAGGCCCTCCTAGGTAAGCGGTGACCAGGCAGGCGTAGCACGTGCCCGAGCCAACGCAACTTATTCAGTGCTATCTGTTGTTCTAGGGAGCTAGCATGATTATCACCACGTAGTACTCGCCTACGCACATCATCGTTGCGGACACGCTGGTGCCATCCGACACCAGCAATGCTTCGCAAACAACGGTGATCAAAGACTTGAAGGCGCCTCAGATCTTCAGACCGAAGGGGCCAAGTTTCACTACCATAGAGCAGAACGGCCCTCACTGTGGCCTTGTATACACGGCCTTTCAGACGGAGGGAAACTCCCTTCTGTCGCCAAAGATGACGCAGGTTGTAGAAGGCAGCTCCTGCCTTTGTAATGCGTGAGCTCACGTCAGTTTCTATGCGCCCATCATTGCTGATGCAGCTGCCAAGATAGGTGACTTGATCAACCACCTCGAGTTCCTCGTTAGCAAGCGTCAAGGGGTCATCAAGTGGCTGGTGGTCCTGTAGCAAGACATTGCACTTTGAAGGTGCGAAGTGCATACCAAATAATGGGACCACTCTGGACAGGCTATTCAGGGTTGATTGTGCCGCCTCAACATCGTCGAAAAGCAAGACAATATGATCCGCATAATCTAGATCAACTAACCTTTCACCAGGCAGCACTTCAACGCCTACATCATGAGATTCCGCAAGGGAACACTCCATGATAGAATCCACGACGAAATTGAACAAAAACGGGGAAATCGGACAACCCTGACGAACGCCACTTTAGTCGAAAAGCTATCCGATAGGGCACCATAGACCCTGACGCGGCCTGTAGTGTTCGAGTATAGAGCACGAAGGATGTTCACATATTTCGTGGGAACACCTTTTCGCGCAAGTAATTCGAACAGAATCGATCGATCGACTGAATCGAACGCACTCTTGAAATCGAGGAATACAGCTATTGTCGGTCTGCGGTATGCGTGGCGCTGCTGTAGCACCTGCCGCAAAGTAAATATATGGTCTATACAGCCAGGTCCTGGGCGAAAACCGGCCTGCTCTTCCCTAATCCGAGATTCTCGTTCTGCAGTGAGGCGACGAACGATAATCGAGGCCAGTAATTTTGTCACAACTGGCGTTAGGCTAATACCCCTGTGGTTAGAACAGTCTGTGCGACTGCCTTTTTGTATATTGCCACTATAATCGATTCGCTCCAATTAGCCGGCACACTTCGTTCCAGATACGTTCGAATAGGGAGGTCAGTGCCCTGCAGAGGACCTCACCTCCATCCTGAAATTGTGCAGGTGGGAGAGAATCCGGGCCAGCAGCACGAAATCGATTGAGCGCTGTGATCGCGTTTCGGACCTCGGCCTCCGACGGAGGCTCTAAACTAACCGTCCATGACACGTCCTGCATCACCTGAGTAGGAAGAGGTTCGGGAGCAGGGGGGCAGCTGAACTGATCTTCAAAGTGTTCAGCCCAACGAGCCATACGGCACTCCTTATTGTGTATCAGCGCACCCGCGCTGTCTCTGATTGTGTCACTGACGCCTGGTTTTCTGGGACCAGTGGTGCGGATTAGCTGGAAGAGCTTGCGGTAATTGCCTACTGCTCCTGCCTCCTCGATTTCTTGAGCTTGACTGGTCCACCAGGCTTCCTTGTCAGCACGTAGGCTCCGCTTTAGTTCACGCCTAATAGCCCGTCTGGTCACATTGTGTTCAGAACCAGCCGGGAGGTGTCTTCTAGCTTCCAACAGGTTCACCGACCTCTCGGATATCCAGTGACTGATGCGGTGACGACTGATAGTGCCACAAGCAGATGCTCCTGCGTGGTGCGTAGCGGCCGAGATCCTATTCCACTGTAGTTCAGTGTCATTAGGACATGACGAGAGTTCGCTATGCAGTGCTTCTTGATAGGCTTGCCTGACAGAGGGCTGGGACAATTTCTCCGTTGCTAATCGTAAGGGACGCTTTGTGCGCCTTCCGGTAAAGTTCATGGAGAAACGACAGCGCACCAAGGCATGATCAGAATCGACACAGGTACTCCAGTACGAGCGGCAATCCAGAATGGAACCACGTCATCTGTAACTTATGACTATGTGGTCAATTTGGGTCCATCGCTGGCCAGCTACAGGTGGACGCCAAGTAGCACTTCGGCGCCCACTGTGTCTAAAAGCAGTGCTAGTAAGAAACAACTGGTGCTCGGCGCACAGTTGCAGCAGACGCTCACCGTTGTCAGTCCGTTCGGCGTTAAGTCCATACTTACCACCCAGTTGAGCTTCTGAAGAGCTCAGACGCCCTGCTTGTGCGTTCATATCATCTGCAAGTACTATAATATCCGTACTAGTAGCACTGCGTGGTAGCGCGTTCAGTTCGTGATAGAATGTGTCCTTGACTGCATTAGAACTGCAGTCGGTGGGAGCATAAGCAGAAATCACAAACAAACAGCGTTTTCTACTAGTTCGTGAATCAACTTTTGCTGATGTCGTCAAACGGGCTGCACATAAACGGTTGTTCACCGGAATCCAATCAACCAACGATGGCACAGCTTTGGAGCTGAGAATGATACCTACACCAGCTTGACACGTGAGGGCTGCATCGGCGTCTCCGGATGCGTGCAATCAATAACGAGAGGATAATCCGGGTGCAGTTAATTCAATAACCCCGTTAGGGTCATTAATCCTAGTTTCGGACACACAACACACATCAACACCCAGTGTGTCCGAGGTGCGTGCGAGTGCAGCCTGCTGACCTGTTTGTCTTAGAGTGCGGACGTTGAATGTCGCCATGGAAACGGGACAGCGTGGCCTTATAAGGGACTTTTGCCGATAGGCGTCCGATAGGTGCTGTGGGATTGTGGCCGGAGATTGTACTACTCCAGTAGCACTTCTGTTGCTGTCAATTAAGCTGGGAATTATAGAAGGAAGGTTAGTAATGGGGGCCGGGATGGGAGTAAGAGAAAAAGGTGGAAAAGAAAGAAGGGAGGCGCCAGCAGTAGCATGTTTCGCTTATCTGCCCTGCTGTATGCAGCAGATAAGGCGACCCTTGATAATCTGCGCGACGGCCGATGCAGGATGAAGTTTATGTTTGAAGAAAATGTCATGGTTATATGTGGGCTGGGATACTGCCAGGGCGCCCAGACCTAGACAGGAGGACGATTAGTGTCCTCATCCCAAGCCTTTGGCTCAAAAGCCTGTCCGCAAGGCAGCGGGGTGGCAGTGATTTAGTTTTACAGAAATGGACGCCATCCCATTTCAAACCCCCAACCTGGAGGACCAGGAGACTGAATTTGTCTGACCTGTCACCATTGACCAACCTGGTAGGAGTAGCTCTCAAGATGCTCGGGGCATCACCCAGTATAGCTCAATGGGTCAATGAGGTACACAAACCGTCGCACCACGTTAAGGTCCAGTATATAGCCTATTTGCATTTCTAATCACACTAACGAGACCGGGCTTTGACAGCTCATTTCAGTTCAGCTAAACAATCTGGGTATCAAAGCTCGGTGGATCCAGTTGCATGCCACCAGGATAAAAATAATCAACTGTGGCGGAGAAAATGAGATAGAGCGGAACGGACTTATGGAAACAGATGTTGTAATTTAATCAGAGTGGATTGTTTGCAGTCAGACGTTAAGAAATTGAGTTTAGCAAACT